GTGCACAGAAGGATTTCAAAGCTGCAGAGCTTATCAAATATGCAAAAATTTATGGCAGCGAGGCACTCACACTGCTGTCGCACAATAGCCGTTCCACACCACATTCTGGAGGTATCCTGTTGAACAAGGCACTTCGATCAGAAACGTTCATTCTTCAAGAGCAGTTGCCGAAACCGTTGTCGACAGCTGAGATCTTAAACATAACTGATTAGAATTGTAAAGAGTGAGCATTTACAATTACAATTCTGCCAAAGAAAAAAATCAGAAAAAAAAACGTGAAATAGAAAAACCGTCGCGTTGACTACCTCCGGCATTTATGTCGTTGATGTAGATATCACATAATTCCTTTGCTATGTCTTCGCAGAATGGAATGCTTTCAAGGTAAAGGCGCAGAAGTTTAGCATCACCACCAAGTAAACCTCTCACCGTTGCATGATCCAAGAGTTTATTTGTGACGATAATCTAAAAGTACAATTTGCCAGAGAAAAAATTCAAATGGACGATTAACAGCCTTAAAAAATGCTCCTGGATGTTCACATAACGTTGGAAAATCTCACAAAATGATGATGGCACAATGAAACTTTAGAGTGATCCATTTGTTCCTCTGAGGTTAGAAAAAGGTCAATCAGTCGGTGACGTACGTTACGCGAAAGGCTGGAGCGCAGAGAAACAAAAAAATGCGGGCGCTAAGGCATCGAGAGGTACAAAAACATATCGCGAGCCAGGAGATGATTTTCTCCAAAGGGAGAGGACACCGGGGTGGATGAGCCACTTATCATGCGTGAAAAGTTGGAATGTGGAAGTTCTCAGCGGTCACAGAACGCCATGAAGACGTGAGAGCGCAGAGAAAAACAGAAATTTGGCGCCCTTCCGCCGATTGAGTTTTGGTTGTCCGTAGATCCAATCAGTCTGCCTTTCTCCGTACCATTGAGAACAGAGGGGCGTAGGGCCATTAGAGAAAAACTGTACACCCACCTCCGCGGACGAGCCTTGCTATATCCGAGGTGAATGGGTTCAGAGCTACAGTAGCGTGTTACTCCCCTCAATAGTGCACGTGAAAGAGGCTGTAGTAGTACCCGAAAGCCGTTTCCACACTCCGCTCGCGTTACTTTCAACGTGTAGCGCTTGCGTCAATACCAAGAGCACTAACTGCAACAGAACACACACTCACGCTAGAGAACAACAAGTGAGAGGGCGCAGGAAAGTAGCGCGTTTGGCCACGGTTGGGCGAGTGGAAGGCTCCGCGGCAGCATGGGCGGAGTCGGGAGAAGACAACCGGGTATTGCCACCTTGCAGCCTCGTTCTCGTTCACTTCTGAGCGGAAAAAGTGGCACGCTACTACAGCTGCGGGCCCATTCACATGGACTACAGCAAGGACCAGGATCCGTGGAGGGGAGTCTACAGTATGTATTTATATTGTTTAGGTGGAGTCTACATGACCAGTTATAGTGGATGAGAAACTGGACCAAACACTTCTGCAGTTCTTAGAAAAAAAACTACCCTAGGAAAACGAAATAAGAATACCTTGATGCAGCGTTCAGGAGACAAAGGAATCATCCATGACAACACATCTTGCAGTAATTTCTTGTCCGCAATGCTGAAATGTCAACTGTAACACTCTTATGTAGTCATGAAAATAGGAAAAAATATGTCTTTATGTACTGCTAAGCCCTTCAAATTTAGTTTATGGAAGAGTCCCAGTGTGTCAACTGGAGTCTAACTCGGTCGCAGGGGAGAGGGGGTTATGGAGGAGAGTCGGTCTGAAACTTGTGAATACTGAATTTTTCCCTTTTTACGCGCACTATACGCCCCTGGTTGCTGCCGCCAACTACTATTTGTGACTAGTGATTTGAAGTGTTGCCCCCCCCCCCTTCATGCTAACCCTACCTCTCCTTGACTGTTACTGCCATTGTGCTATGAACTGCTGCGATCCTTCCCTTCTATCGCCCCTTATCAGGTCTTATCAACTCTTATCATTTGTTACCCTTCCTCCCCACCAAGGATGTTCCCGTCCTGCCTCCTACGCCATTTCTTTCAACGATGGTCCAGTTGTTGCTTTGACTTGCGCATTGAATTTGGTGATCCTTTTTTAGCGCCCCTTATCCCGCACCTTATCAGCTCCGCACTTATCAGCTTTGATCACGCGCTTTATCGGCTCGTCCACCTGTTGTCACTTTCACCCCCACCCCCCCCCCTCCAATGGTGTTCCAAACCACTTCTCTGAACGTCTCACTGTTACTGCGACCCGCTCAGTATGACCTTCCATTCTGACGACCTTTCTCAGCTTACAACTCCTGTACCTTCCGATCACCCATCAACTATGTTCACGTCCTGACCTCTACAAGACGCCTGTTCAGGATTTCAGCAGTTTGATAAGATTGGTCCTCTGTGGAAAGTGTCGTACCAAACGAGAAAGTGAGAGAGAAGGGCATTAGCAGAAATTCTTCCAGCTGCCAGGACGTGCC